ATCGGGCAAATGAATAATGGAATAATATGATTTGCCTGTGGCTGTATCTAAAACAAGCGAACAGAAGAATTGACTCTTGTTGATTCTGATCTTTGAATACGAGTATTCTGCAAGTGTTTAGTTTATAAAATTGAAAGTTGCTCCTGAGAAAATTACCAATGGAGAAAAAAATTCTGCACCTATAACAATCTCTCACCCATTTTCTAGATGAGAGATTGTTATACTTCCTAGGCAGTGGCTGCTCTTGATGTATTTCGGGAGGTTTCTCACATAAATGTAGGGTTGAAATAGTATGTTGATAGGTCTGTAACGAGAGATGCATGCTAGTTCACGAGGTGACTTTGATTGACGATGGGTTATATAATAGACGAGGCAATGCTTGAATGATTTTGTTTGTTTCTTCCTGCATACTAACCTTGTTTCTGATTCGTTCCGTAGTGATTGCTTCCAGGATCTTTCTTTTCGATCAGTCGGATTCCTCGCAGACGATGCTGCTTGCATGCGAATATATATCACTTTTTTCAGTATGCAGTGTCCCACGACGGCAGATACTTTCTCAAGCGCTCTCTCGAGATGGATTATGTGTTCACTGATTGTGTACTTAAAACTTTTTTCCGGTTTATGAATAGCTTATCTGGTATTCTCTTGCCGTATCTTCCTGTTTCGGCTTAACGCCTTGCATAGAATGATAGTCAGATATTTTGGGATCTGTAAATCGCACCACATGTCTGACCATAACCCGTTTAATTCTTTCACCTGAGCTCTGTTAGTATTGGATGATTAGGTGAGGACGGATTTGGAAGTCTTCTTCGGTGGTTGCTGCTCCTTGCAGGTTCTGAATTATGCATAACTTTTAGTTAATGATCATTCTTTCATCAGTTTTCATTCAGTTCGGAGACTAAAATGTTGTTCAGGTGATAAAGGGAGGAGAATCCTCACTAAATTCAATGTTATGTTGAAATAGCCCTGCTTTGATGAATACGGGGTGTGGGAATGAAGGTCGAGGTAGCACCCAACGTGGGTAGATTTCTTCTATAGAACTGCGTTTAGTGTACCATTGATCAGGTAGAATCATGTCAGCACATTCAAGAATGAAATTCTGTCCCCTCATTTAATTTTCATTTTCATTTCATTTAGTTCATTGGTGACTCAGATTTTTATGAAATACTTTGAGTTGTTCTTCTCCGTACAGCCATAGAACTCAGGCATCGTCCACCTATCTGTACCATGCCAGTCCTCTCATTTCGACAGATTCCAGCGCTGTTTCTTTGAACGGCTTCATATAGTTCTCCGTCACGTTAAAAGACACTGACAATTAGACGGTGTATCTGGAATGTTGACTGCCATGTTTGTTCTGCCATCCAGTTTGCTGGCTGCAGTTTCGTGATCATTCACGAATTTACCATTCTTTCTGCTTTTCATTCATATTACATCATAAGATTGTTCATAATACACATAAATCTCATAAACCTAAAGGGTATTTGCTTCTTTTTTTCTTTTCTAGTTGTATGCAGATTTGCTTAAGTGACGAACTACATTTTAACGAAGTCATGAACAAATCACTTTATGAAAAATGTTTGATCAGCAGGTATTAATGTCACGTACCGGTTGGTTTAATTATTTAGGCGCACTTCCCGCAACTTTGTTAAAATGAAAGTAGTTCAAGAAAAACTGCTTTATGTGTATAAATTTCTGCCAACTTACATTATTCGTGCTAATTGTGTGTAGAGATTTCTAATATTAAGTATATTTGTTTTGTTGATCATTCGCTATGGTCAAAGTCTTGCACTTGTACTTTCGTACTGTTCCGCAGCGGTAAAAGCTTCGTAGTTGTACATCACAGGTCAAAACCGTTGCGCCGCTTTAAACATAGCTATCAGAGTGCTTTTGTACCGCTTTTTTGAAACGGATTCAGCTAAAGTCCTTGACATGTTTTTCTGCCTTTTGCGCCTCGCTGTGTTTCAGATCAGTGATTCTTCCGTGTTTCTGTACTGCAATAAATCTCATTTAAATGTTGCCTCCGTTTTGATAATGTTTCGAAAGTTGTTAAAGCTACATTTTCATTGAGTACCGTTGAAAAGCTTTAGAAAATACGGAATTGCGCTGTTCTGTATATAAAGATGAAATATTTCATTTGTTCTTTAGTACTAATGCCGAAACAACATAGTACAATAGCATCGACGTCAAGACACCCACAGACCGGTGATGGAGTTCTGGTAGAACTAAATCTGGCTGGCAGAATCATGACTGAAAGCCTATTAGCGGAGGCAGTTGAGATCGTCATTCTACTGAATTAACAACAAGCTAAAACTTTGACCTTGTTACATGTTCTTGCGCCCAGTTTGGAGGAGGATATGAGTCCCTCCTGGAAGAAATAGAACGTGCTAATAGAATGTGCTAACGGAAAGTCGTAATTAGCAAGAACGGCCGTAGCGACCTCAATAATAACGGCATAAAGTTATTACTTTTTTATGCAAACAACGGACTGTCTGTTGACTTAGAGCATCGAAGCGTGCATCAGTATGACTAGTATGGGGAAACGTGTGTACATGAGTCGGTGATCTTCATCTTCATCTTCCATCGCCGCTTCTTTCGGGTCGCGGAGGCAGCCGCGTCAGACAGTGCTTCCAACGTTCCCGATCCTGTGTCAGAGTCTGAGCCTCGACAAAAGACAAATGTAGTCTGCAACAGACTCCTTCCATATGTTTGCACCAGGTTAATCTTGGCCGTCCCCTGGGCCTTCTACCGTCGGATTTGCAAGGAACAGTTGTTAGCCTTCCTTTCTGGAGGCATTCGCAGCACATGCCCAAGTCATCGCAGCTGTGACTTCTCAATCTGGAGAAGCAAAAGCTGAATTCCAAGGCTCTTCCGGATGTCACTATTCCGGACCATGTCGAGACGCGTAAGGCCAGCGACTCCTCTAA